TACAAGATTTAAGGGGGGGGGGCACTTCGCTATTGGTGCCCCCCTTTCCAGAATCAAGGGGGGGGGGGCACGGTGCCCCGGTGCCCCCCACGTTCCGCCGCTTATGTATGCAGTGTATGTTCCCGCTCTTTTCAAATGCAAAGTGATGCCACTGAAACGGCATATGTATGTTCTTCTTTTACTTAACCCGCGCCCCAGTGGCGGTCTCAGCCAACTTCGCCCTAGTGGGGGGTGGGGGGTGGGGGGGATATGTTACCACCCACCTCTATCTCAAAAACTAAGAGGGCTAGAAAGAAGCGGTAAAAAGCAGTCGATAGCTCTCAATGCGTGGTTTGAAAGTATTACGGTCATTTTCATCTTAGAGCAATATTGGGGTCACCAGAGGTCATCAAAGGTCAAAATTTGCCAATTGTCATTATATTTTTCAGAAAACATGCCATTATCTCAGGAACTATAGTAGCTAGAAAAATGCATGGAAAAGCAATCGATAGCTTTTGAACTCTTCTTTTGATAAGATTATTATCAAAATTGACCTCAGGTCAATGGTTTAGCCTCCAGAGGGCAAAAACTCCAAAAATAGCTGTTTTTACGAAAAGTGTTTTTCGATAATAACTTTCGACTACAAAAAGCCACGACATTTCTATTGCCAGAATCGTGTTCCTGTCGCCGAGACGCGTCGAATGAACTATAATTTGACCTTGAAAGGTCAATTTGAAAATTTGACCTCAGGTCAAGGTCATGACCTGACCGGAAAAGGTCATGTTGCATATCAATCGATGCGTCTCAACAAGACAAACACAATGAGGCCATCCCCAGAGTTCTAGCTCTTTCCAATCGCGAGTTATTGGCAAAAATCTGTTTGTAGCCTCAAAGGACCTCGGATGACCTTTCTAGAGGCTATCAGCAAAAATGACACTTTGGTCATCACGGGTGGTCCGAATCATTGTGATTCTGAAATATTTGGACTGTTCCTATGCGTACACACGGATCTAGAGGCATTTTCATTTTTTTTTCTCCATTGACTTGTAATGGAAAGGTCACTCCACTGACCTGACCTAAGGTCACGGATATAAAAAATCCGAGATATACACATTGTAGGCGCTTATAACATCATGCTAGCTACTCCAAAGCTACTCCAAGCGGCGCGGCGCTACGCGCCGCGGTTTTTTATTTACACGCAAAAAACGCGACAGGGTGGTAACATATGCCCCCCCCCCCCACTGGGGCGAAGGTTAAGGCTGATGAGAGATACAATTTCTTGATTGAATCTGTATTTAGATTCCTATCCCCTAGTTTTGTAAGCTGTTTTAGGGGCTCCTTAGAGGGAGCCTCACTTTCCGAAAACCCAGGTACTCATTTTTTACCCACTTCATTTCAGAAGGGTCAAGTTTTTTTGTAAAAATTATAGACTGTTTATTGGCTCCCTTTTGGCTGTTTCAGGGACCACCTCGACTTCTTCTAGGCCTCTAGGGCCATGATAGCGGTATCGACAAAGTAGGCGATCGTGATCGGTAAAGCAGGGCCGTCACAGAACAATTTCTGTTGTAGTATTTCGCAAAACCCCCGCATTCTGCATATCAGTGGAAGCATAATTTTATTTTTAAAGTTGTAGGTCGTGTAGCCACACGAATACTCCCAAAATGCACGAAACAATTGCAGGCACGTACCTAGGATTTGGCCAAGGGGGGGGGGGGCGGAGGATCCCGGGGGCCTTCTCTCTACAGAGGCAAGGGAGGATCTAGGCGAACGTTGGGGGGGGGGGGGTCACCGGTCGGCCGACATGTCAGGTCTGATGGATGAATTGTGACGACCGGGGTAGGGGAGCGAGTATTTCGAGATCAAAAGACATTTTGCCTTCGTCGTTTCTAAGATGGAGCTTTATCGTTATAAGTCACTCGGCTCAGTAGTTTTAGTCAGGCATTGGTAAAATCCTTTTTGAAAGGATTGCATTCCCAATCCACATTCCTAGTGCCGAAGTGGATTACATTCCTACCCGCAATCCCCTTTTTTCACTTGGATTGTGATCAAATCCGCAATCTTTTTTGCAATCCTGTTGTATTATTATGTGCACTAGTGGATCTGGGGGAGGGAGGGAGGGAGGGCCGTGCCTCTATCCCCAAATCACCCATTTCTGGTACCTGGTCTTGCTGGTAATTCCTATCTAAGGCACAGGTATTTTATGGGAAATATATTTTGCCTCAAACACCCCCACATTTTAACCTCTACCCAACCAGTGTTTTATATTTTTAAAACTCGCCCTCAAATACCTACGTAATTTTGCCCTTCCATATGTAGTTCATCAGCGTATATTATTTTGAGCGTTTTAATTAAAAGCGTTTAAATTATTTCAAGTTTCGATGTAAAGCCCTTGATAGCAAAGTACATTAACCCTCGCCAGGCCAGGGGGGGTTGATGCAACCCCCCCCTAAGGTTTTTCGCAAATAACGTTAAAACGGCGGCGCGTAGCGCCGCCAAATTTGGTATACCCTCTGGGGCAACCTTTTGACACCTTCCCTGAAAATTTCAGGTCTCTGCCGTTTCAGGTCAGGTCACCAGGTCAGAAAAACCGGTACAAGGTCATAGTCAAATTTTAATTTTCTTTATGCACCTGTCCAACTCACAGTTTTGGACTGATTTCCTTCAAACTTTCAGGATGTCCTAAGTTCACCGAGTTGTATAACATATATTCCGGTTGTTTTCATGTCACTGACCTGAGGTCAGTTAGAGGTCATTACGTCATAATGGTAAGCCTATGGGAAAATATTCAATTCGGAAAATACTGGCGATATCCGCTTCGTTCTATCACTTTGGTGCTTTGAAACAACAGTACTTAACATTAGGTCACTTGGTACTTCTTTGTTTGGTGTACTTATCCATGGGTCAGGTCAAATGAGGTCAACTGAGGTCAAATGACGTTTGTGCCAATAACTTGTTACACAATAAAGATACAGCTTTCAAAATGGCATCGTTCTGTTCCTCTTGAACAGTCGAGTCGAATGATATGCAACATTAAGCATTTTGACCACTCTTAAGACTTAAGATGTACTTAAGATGTGCTTAACTTTTTAAGTACACTTAACCCGCGACCTGGTGGGGGGGGGGCTATTTTTTGCCCCCCCTCCAGACTTTTCGATATATCTCCAGATTCGCTGCGCCGATCGTCACCAAACTTTCAGTACCCTCCCGGACATCAATTTTACACATGGTGACCAAAAATTTTTCCAAAAGCTATGATAGGTTGGCCGGAAATGACGTCAGAGTGACGTCATGTTCTGCCGTTTTCGACCCAAAAAAGGGTCTCGCGGGAAGAGCTGTCAGGCCTATAGCTTTGCAAATAAAGAAAAATGATAAGGACATAAAAGCTGTAGAATTAACAGGGCTACAAAACTGCTATCTCGGATTTTTAAAATTTTTGGATTTTGACCCCCAAAAATCAAAAAATAGATTTTTTTGGATATAATGATCGACAAATCCAAAAAGTTTTTTGAATTTCGCAAAAACCGGAATATATGTGATAGTCCTTACCACCTTCCATCCACATACCAAATTTAAGATTGATACCTCTTTTTTTGGCGAAGGTATAGCGAAAAAACTGTTCAAAATTGATGACGTCAAATTTTCAAACTCAATTTTGAGCAATTCTAGACCCCGTAGCGCAAAGCAAAGACCACCATTAGACTCCCCGTGACGAGCTGCATCGAATCAATACCTTTTATATGCAAATCTATCAACTTTAAAATTTGACCTTTTTTGGCCTGACCTTGACCTGATCTTGACCTGAACTTCACCAGAAAGTGACCTAAGCCGTACCTGATAGCCTTATAACCAACACCATTGAGTTGGAAATGAAAAATTGGCCATAAAACATGCATCACACAACCTTAGTAAAGTTGGGCTCATGTGACCTGACCTGTGACCCTTGGTGACCTGACCTGTGACGTGACCTGGTATTGTCAGTGACCTCTAATAGCAACATATCTACTAGGCAACTGACGCCCTATCGCTGATTCTCGACAAAATGCGTTTTCCTCGGTGTTATAGCGCATTCCCTAGAAGACCCGTGAACGGTGAAACATTTCATCTTTGACCTGACCTGTGACGTCATCGGTGACCCCGAGGTCAATGAAATTTGGTTTTCCTAGACAAATTTGATAGGCCTTTCGAACGCCGTTTGAATTTTGCGGATCCGTCCAGTAGTTTCGGAGATACGAGGGGGGGCAAAAAATAGCCCCCCCCCCACCAGGTCGCGTTATAAACAGACCCCACCAGGGCGCGGGTTAAGCAAGCAAACAAGTATATCATTCGACGCGCCTTGACGTGCTGAGTTCACTGGTGCTTTTCTTTTTGCTCTATCTTAATTATATCAAAAGTTATAAGCGAAAAACTTTTAGCAAAAATTTTACATTTATACCCCCCAAAACCCCCCTAAATATTGACCTAGAGCAACCAAATTTGCACAGGGGCGAGATCTCCTATAGACCCATCTACCCTGTAAATTTGGTGTTTCTAAGTGCCATAGGAGCCAATCGCCAGGGGGGGGTCGTCCCCCCCCCCCCTGGCCGTCCGCGTTATGAAAAAGGCCCTGGCCTGGCGAGGGTTAAGCCGATGAAGCCGATCTCATAATTTTCAATCGCTACAAACCATTTCAAAGCACCTATCAAACACAATCCGGATTGGATTGCAAAAATTGGAAGTATGATGCAATCCAATCCGCAATCAAATCCTGTTCTTGGAATGGATTCAAATCCAGGTGCAATCCACCAAAAAGGAATGCAATCAGGATTTTGCAATCCTGCAATCACAATCCTACCGATGCCTGGTTTTAGTTAAATCCACCTATACAAGGGCGTCGCCACGGATTTCTTACTCGGGGGGGGGGGGGCAGGACGAATCGTCCGACTTAAAACCCAGAAGTAGATAATAGCCGTTTTCACGACGGGCTATCCGGCGAGTGCACCTGATTTGACCAAATCTGCACCTAATCTCTTTTACAGTAAATATCTTTATTTTATGAATTTATTTCAGTGTTTTAATCGATGATGCTCTCTGATAATATGACAAAGCAGGCATATAAGCAGTTAGTGCAATTCTAGCTGATAGCTACTAAGAGACACACTGAACCTCATTTGACCAAATCTGCACCTGATCTGCACCAGATGTGCACCAAATGTGTACCAGATGGCCGTCGTGAAAACGGCTATTGTTACCTCACTTTTAGCACATTATGCACTAGAAGCATACAGTCGCGATCTCGCTTATTGACCTGTCTATGAATCGGCGGCGGCGAAAATTCGCTCACTCAGGGACAGCGTCACGCCCTCTTCCCGGGGCCGTCGGAACTGACGTCCTCCTTCACTTCCACCACGAACTGACGTCCTCCTTCACTTCCACCACATCGACATTGGCTCGCTCAGGCTCAGGAAGGAAGTCCAGCGACTCAGCAGGCATTTCAACTTTCTCGAATTCGGGAACCATGTCCTCACTGCACTCTGAAGACAAGTCACTAGATCAGCAATCGCCTCAGATTTTGCGCTATTTTCGACCTTTACCGCGCTACGCGAATCAGGCGCATCACTCGTCTTTCCCCACTGTTAATCTTCACTCCATTTCCAGGTCCATCCACTGCTTCCATCTCTTGCCGCCATTACAGCCACTGTTTCGGACAACTCTAACCCATCGGGACGCCCTCCTGATCACTATAATCCAGCCCGAAGGTATTGGCGCCAGCCGGCTCCTCGCGGTTCGCCTCCAGCTCCTCGTCCGTCACCTCAGACTCCTCCGTGTCCTCGTCCTCCTGATCCTCGTCCTCCTGATCCTCATCCTCGTCCTCGTTCTCTTCCTCCTCCCTCCCGTCTTCGTCCTTGTCCGACTCGGCGCGCTTCATCCGCCGCTCAGCAGCCATCGTCTCCTGACGCTGTACAAAGTCACTAAACTTCTCATTGAGCCTCTTGGAGCCCTCGGCGCCGCTCTGAGCTAGCTTCTTGGCCAGAATCGGGTCGGTCGCCGACGGATCGCGGCCACGCCAGTCTTCGGTGCCCGTCAGCGCATCCATGGACTCGGCGAGCGCGGCGCGGCGCCTCTTCTGCAGCAGCGTTCCAATCTGCTGAAACGCCTCCTCGGCCAGGTCGTGCAGCGCCGTCGGGCCGAGCTGTAGCCGATAGCGCTGGTTGGCCTGCTTGATCAGGCTCAGCACGTCCGTGAAGTCGGGGAACTCGCGAGTGCGGTTGACGAACTTCTCGATGCCCCGGTTGATCTCCGAGTAGCCGGTGCCGTGGAAGCGGATGGGCCGCCAGTCGAGTTTCTCAGCCTCATCGGCGGCGCCCACCAGCCGGCAGTAGTAGCGGTACACCTGCACGTAGCGCCGCTTTAGGCGGGCACCCACGATGTAAGCCGAGCAGGCGGCGTCATCCCAGTCCACCTCCAGCTTATCCTGACGCACGATTTCGCGCTCCAGCCGGCGCAGCGTCTTCTCTAACTTGGCCACGTGACGTCGATGTCGACGTGTTTCCCTCAACTTTGTCTGCTGTTTTTGCGACATTATTCGTCGAGCGACGAAGAATGTCGACGAATAATGAGACAGCAGCGCTGCTGTCTCAGTGTTGTCAGCGGCGGCGTTTGCTTTTACCGCCACTCGCGGCGCGGAGCAGCTCTGCGCCGAAGATGCCGCGATCTTCAACTGGTCGAGCTGCTCTAGGAAGCCGCGCACCACGGTGAAGCAGAGGTCCGGCTCTGCGCGCAGCCGTTCGGCACACTGCCGAGTCACACCGATAAGGTGCTGGACTCGTCCGGGATGTCCGCTAGTCAGCGCCAGCACGGCAGCGTGGCGGCGCCGCACCTTCGCCTCTATCTTCAGCTCGGGCCCGGACAGCAGCGGCTTGAGCAGAGCGCACACCTCCTCCAGACCATCTTTACATGGGTCCGGCTCTGGTTCCTGCTCCGGTTCCGGTTCCGGTTTCGACTGTGATGTCTCTTCTGTTTTCTGGTCAGCGCGACGCCCGGAGTCCAAGCGGGCACACTTGGGCTTCGGGTTGGCCTCCTCCCCGCCGACAGCACCAGCCGGTCGTCTGGGGCGGGCAGTCCGGTCATCTGCGACCGACTTGGAGCAGTTGCCGGTCGACAAGTGCCGATCACGGGGTTCGGGCGGTTCCGCGTCATCGGCTCCGGGGTTCGGCCTTTGGTCAGCTTTGGTCACGGCAGCCAGCGAACAGCGAGCAGTCTGATCTATCTTGCTGTCTGATGTGGCTTTCCTGTGTTGCTGAGCAGCAGGTGGAGTATAGTCATCATCACTTAATATTATTACATCATCCATCTTGTTAAGAGTACCTGAAACAAACATCAAGTGTAAGCCCTCCCTAAAGCACTTTTCTGAATCTACCGTACAGTTTGGTGCATAGGGGAGAACTGCCTAGGATGGCCAGGGTAGGTGAGCAAGCCCTTACGCATATTTCTACGCTTCGTTCGAGCTCGCAAAGGCGTCATTGTGATTATGGGTCTATGTATTGTGCAGTTCAACGATGCCTTTGGGTGAGGAAAAGCCCACAATACATAGCCGAAGATATGGGAATATACAAGGTATGAAGCATGTACGCGAAGATTGAGCAGTTGCAACATAGTAGTGCATGCAACATGGATTACCCACTACGACGTGAAACAGTACAGTCGGTGGCGGCGGGGAGGTGGGTGGTGGAGAATGCAATGCCCGCGCTCGGTATCGGCCGCCCGCTCACGCCGGTGCCGCGCGCACGAATGACCCGTGCAGTGCCCGGGTCATGCAGACTTGACGAGCGGGCGGTATGAAGCAATCACATAGGCGGCGCTAGCTCTCACCGCGAAGAAAAATCATTATCAGTTGGCTTATAATGATACATTTCTACGCTTCGCTCGAGCTCGCAAAGGCGTCGTTGTGATGGGTCTATGTATTGTGCAGTTCAACGATGTCTTTGGGTGAGGAAAAGCCCACTACCCCCACGAACCCGAGAACGATGCGTAGGCAGGGAAAACGTAATAAGATAATTGTAGGCAGATTTAAGCAAATAACGCATACAAGCAAAACAAAAACATTGCTACGCGCCCGGCCAGCACAAACAGCGACACAACGCAGAAGACAGGCGGAAGAACGCGTCAGACACCGCTCGCATCAACACCTTGTCTGCACACAGCGATGCGAAACGAAATAGCTATACTGCGAAATGATTGCAAGATTATATCTGCCGCGCACACGAAGGCCCTGACGAGTTACAGTAGTGTACAGACGACGAATAATGAGTTGCAAGTGGGGGAGATGTACAGCGTAGGGAATAGGGATCATTCATGTTGCGAATGTCTGCTGGCGTAACTGGCACCAATCTCGGACCAGCGCACGGCTGAACGGTGTAGCGAAAAATTGGCCGGCGTAACTGGCACCGTTCTTGGACCAGCGCACGGTTCAACAAATGCAGCGAAAAAGTCGGCCGGCGTAACTGGCACCAATCTTGGACCAGCGCACGGCTCAGCAGTGCAACGAGAGGTCGGCCGGCGTAACTGGCACCAAGCTTGGACTAGCGCACGGCTGAGCAGTGCAACGAAAAATCAGCCGGCGAAACTAGCACCAATCTCAGACCAGCGCACAGCAGAGCCAGGAGAATCATTTACATTGCTCCGCTAACGAAAATTGGCACCACGACCGGCGCATAGCAGAGCAGAGACCAAAACGCGCCATAGAACAAGGGAACGGCCGGGATAGTACCAGTGCGTCGTGACCAGGACCCAATGGCACTGCAGGTGCCTGAGAGTAGCTCGTAAAACAGAGACGTGACGTCGGACATATCGATGCATAGCGTGAGAGAACCAGCGTCCCGCCTGACTGAGTTGCACCTCAGTCATGCCGATAATAGCGCCATGCGACGCCCCGCCAATGCGTAGGCAATGGCCAGACAGATGGGCCCTAGACAGACCGGCTATTTGGCCAGTCAGCCGGAGGGCACGCTTGAGCTGATTTCCAGTGACTGGACGGCGCCCGTCACCGACGAACAGAGCCTCATGCTGGTGCCCGGCCCCGCGCAGCAGCAAATAGGAGCGGACAGCAGCCACAGGACATTCTGGGAGGTCTGACCGCTCCTTCAACTGGAACGTGACCGGCGTCTGTGAGGTCTTGGACGAGGGAATGGTAATGAAAAGATGCCTGTGCTGCAACCGCACTCCACCCATCCGTAGGAAGTGTTCCTGTCGGCCACAACGGACCACTTCGCCGGGTCGGAGAAGGGCAAAGAACGCCAGCGTGAAAATGGCATGGAACGCGGAACGTTCTAAAGGAGACATGGTGGCCTGCCGAAGAGCGTTACACAGCTGTCCCAGTTCTGGCAAAGTGATGGCAGTACGCATATCCCGGCTCGGCCGCAGGCGACGAGCACCTGTCAACATCTGTCTGATGCGAAAATTCGTTGAGGGGTCGGCTAAACCATGGACTTTGTGGCCATATGAAATAGCAGACACGACACTAGATAGAGTGGCGGCTGCAGATCCAGCATCGTATCGAGACGCGATGAAACAGGCCAGTTCATCGACACTGACTGGAAACAGGCTGTCCGAGGCCGACCGCCGAAGAAAATTCCGCAGCTCCGCCCAGATGGCGTGATAGGCCCGGGCCGTTGCAGGAGCCAGCGCCGCTGACAGGAGCGCTGCTATGGTTGACGGGGGACGTGGTCGGCCCAGTCCCAAGGCGTGGGCTGCTGATCCGCGAGAGGCCTGAGGTGTCTGAACACCTGAAGCAAGCCACGCGAAAGGGCGTCAGCTGCGAGATTAAGGGAACCAGGGGTGTGAATAGCGCGGACAAGAATAGTGACAAAAAGTCTCCTCAGCCAGTGCATCAGTTCTGGTGAGCGGGACGATTGAGAGGTGATGCACTCTACCACCGCTGCATTGTCGCAGCAAACGAGCACACAACGATTGCTGAGTCGTGTGCACCACACGGAGACGGCAATGACAACGGCAATCAGTTCTTTAACACAGATGTCAGCACTACTAAGCTGGTCAGGCCATTGGCCTGATAGCCACGCATTTCCACAGATGGCCCCAATACCCGTGCTTCCTGACGCATCAGTTTCGAGGCTGATTCCAGGCTCTCGATCCCACCGCCTTGATTCCAGGAGAGATCGACCATGGAATGACGTCAGCATGATCTGCCATGCCTGGAGATCCAGCCGGGCCGCCTTGGTGAGCGTCACACGGTGGTGTGGACGGAGCGCGCCTCGACAGAGATCGTACATTCGGCGAAGGAACACACGTCCAAGAGGTACAGCCATGCAGGCAAAGTTAAGAAGACCAAGGCAGGATTGAACCTTCCGTAGGGGAGCCTTTTTGCGCGCCAATAGCGAACTCACTCCTGCGATCGCACGTTGGAGCTTTTCAGGAGGCAAGCGCAGTTCTTGAGCGTCCACATCCAATTCTATGCCCAGGAATGTGAGGGCACGGCATGGCTCAACTGTTTTGTCAGCGCGCAATGGAACATGGAGCTCTGTGCACATGCGTCGAAACGCATTTAGAGACGACAAGCAGTCCTCGTGACTTCCGTCAATAAATAGAAAATCATCTAGCACAGAAGTCAGAAACCATCTGTCCGACAGAAAATTTGCTCTGAGCCATCCATATCAGGGAGTCGCTGAACGTTTGAATTTTTTTTAGCTGCTCGAACATCCCATGGGCAGAGCCAGGTCAACATACGCGGAGCCGCGCCAGTGAAAGCCCAGCATAGGGCAGTCCGCTGGGCGAATTGGAATAATGCGAAATGCACTGGCGATATCTGTCTTGGCCAAGTAAGGAAAATGCATGGTGGAAATCAGCTGAACAGCATCGTCCACTGAGCCATAGTGAACTGATGTGAATTCTCTGGGGATAAAGTCATTAACAGATCCACCGGTTGGGAAGGAAAGGTGATGAATGACGCGATAAGTCCCCGGAGTCTTTTTCGGGATGAGCCCGATCGGGGAAAACTTTTTAATCCATGAACAGTCGGGGTGAAAAGGACCGGCAATGCGACCCGCACGCCTCTCGGAATGATGTACAGTGGGTCTATTTAAGATCTCCAGAGCCACCACGTGGCGCTACGGTCGGGGTAGGGCGAGTCCAAATCTCGAGGGATGTGAGGTCACCGGTCATTGTGGGGGAAGGAGGGAGGGGGAGTGACGCGGTATGACGGCGCATGGGGCGTGCGTAGCGCCGGGAGTGGGCCGCCCAGGGCCGCCCGCCACTGTGCCGAGGCTGAACAGAACAGATTTATTTGAATAAGATCCACGATTACATGGCTTTTCACTTACTCGCGTCTGAATGGTAATACAATGGGAAGTTGGAACAGACACACGGAAATGACTACAAACATTCGCATACCATGCATACACTCGCACCAGAAACGATATCGTGAATCAGAGAGATCCAGCGAACAGCCTGGCATCTGCCCGGAAAGACAAAGTGCCAGGCTCAATGCCGCTGTCGTTCAGCAGCGACACACCGCGGTAACAGAGTCGCCGCCTGCCGGCCTCCACACGGATGGCCGGAAGGGTAAACGAGTCCGCTCGCCTGGTGTTATGATCATGCCGCTGGTGGGCTCGCTGTCCAAAAGTCTTAAGAAGAAAGTCAGGATGACCTGACTTCATCGTCCGCTCGACTGCACACAAGGTATGGTAAGCCACCAACTGTTCGGCCGTGAGCCAGCCGAGGCTCGATATGGCACCCGAGATGTGATCACATCGCCTTTTCCCGGTCACGACACGTGCGCAGAAATTGATGGTCTTCTGTACACGGTGCAGCTGTGTGCTAGTACAAGACCCATACACCGACATGCAGTAGCGCAAAATGGATAACACTAGAGCTTCTGTGATGCCCTTTAACACAGGTCTAGGTATGACGTGACGTGCGTGACTTAGGGCTATCAGAATACCGGCGCACTTATGGGACATATTGTCTATCTGAGCCTCAAAATTTAGATACCTGTCAAGTTGAACACCGAGGTTTTTAACTACTCCTGAGTCTGGAATGACATCTCCATTGAAGGTCAACGTCACAGGTGGTACATTGCGCAGCATTGAGGGGGTACCTAGCACTAACATCTGCGTCTTCTTGGAGTTGAGCTTCATCCGGTTGAAGCAAAACCACTGGTACAACATGTCGAGTGCGTGCTCCATACGGGCGACGAGCTGCGGTAAGTCACACTTTCTGCCTGTCACTATCAGTTGTGTGTCGTCCGCATACTGGACGACACTAACACCGTCCGGCACATGCAAGCTAAGGTCGTTCGCAAACAGCATGTACAGAATACAACTGAGGGCGCCGCCCTGGTATACACCTATCACATTGCTCTTTTCATCGGAAAGTAGCATCCTTCCGTCTGCGCACCGTACCTGCACCTGCTGCGCGTGGTCGGCCAAATAGTCACGGAACCATTTGGTAGTGATGCCGTAGAGAGACAGCTTTTCTAGCAGCTTGTCATGCGGAACAACGTCAAAACATTTAGATAAATCGAGAAGTACCAGAATACTTATCTCGCCGTTGTCCATAGCGTGAAGCGCCAGATCGGTGATCACGTGCAGTGCGGTTTCAGTGGAACGGAATTTACGGTACCCGTGTTGACAATCGGAGAGCAGGCAATTGGCCTCGAGATAAGCAATGAGCTGCGCCTGTACCACGCGCTCGACAATTTTCATTATTGCTGGCAGAATCGAGATGGGTCGAGTATCGGACGGTTCGGTGGCAATTCCGGCTTTAGGAATGGGTGTGACCAGCGCATGCTTCCAGGCGTGCGGCACTGTACCGGTGACAAGGCTCGAGTTTACAACGTCAAGCAGAGCATGTCTCACACCCAAGAAAAACTTTTGCAGCATCATCACGCTAATACCGTCAATTCCTGTTGAATTGGACGGTTTCATCACCGCGAGCGTGGCACACAAAGTATCCAGGTCGATTGTGCTGACATCGAAACCACAAGTTGACACACGTGGGACGCGCGTGGGGACAGCCAAAGCGGCGACCGGCACACTAGCAGCAGTGTTGAGCCCCACTGCGACATAGTAGTTGTTCAACGCATTCGGGGTTATCCGTGGAATGTCGCACTGCTGCTGTTTCCGTCCGATAACGGGCCGCAGCACCCGCCACAGCCCACCGCGACTGTTCTCCCTGATCTCCCGCTCGTACCGCGCGCGGCAGTCACGGCGGATGGCCGCGCGGCACAGCCGGTTGGCCTCCTTGTACGCGGCGCGGTCACTTCCAGCGAGCGCCGCGCGGCGGCGCTGCAGCAGCCGTTGAGTGTCAGCGGACACGGGCGGCGCAGAGCTCCGCCTGTCACGGACACGCCTGAGCGGTGCGACAGTGTCCAGTTCAGAGAGGAACGCCGTCTGGAAGTGCGCCCACTTGTGCACAGTAGTGTCGCTGTCAAAAACTCCGGTCCAGTCGGTATCAGTCAGTTGCTGGCAAAACGCCGCTGCGTCTATCTTGCTCAGAGCGCGGCGATACACGTCACCAGCACGCTGTGTTGACGGACGACCGGCGCAGGACAGCACCACACGAGTAAAATCGTGGGGCCCTCCGTAATGACAGCGGGTTACGCCAGCACGCTGTACAAGCTCAGGCCGGTTGGTAGCGATGACGTCAAGTAGACTACTCACTGGACGGTAAGTAGCTCGGGAAGAGTTTGTCACACGTACACCGTACGTGTCGAGCATACTCAAAAGTGCGTTCGGCGAACCAGTGCGTGCAGACTTTAACAGACAGTTATTAAAGTCGCCACAGACCATCAGAGTCGCTCGTGGGTAGCTGGCCAGCATGAACTGTAGCTGGTTCTCTGAGCGGAGGGGATGATGGTTGCGGGTGCGTTCACTCCGGTATGGTGGTATCCTGTTCATGTGGAACCAGCAAGAATGCGACTGAAGGGAATCATTATCTCAAATAAACGGACAAGCGAGAGGCAGCGCCAGTTCCAGCCAAAATCTTGAACAATGATAATTGAAATCTAGGACGTATTAATAGCATGCAACTACTCAGTCGATAGTTGCATGATGACAGTCTTAGGCTTTTCTAAAATGTTATTTGAGTTGGGTATTTTTTCATTTGGCACGTTCAGTTTTGATGAGTTTTATCTGGTCGAATAGAATCCGAAAAGAAAGAGTTAAAATGGCTCCGGAAAAATGACCAAAAAATATTTTCTTTAAAAAAATGAAACTTAGCTAGACATTTATAAGCGATAATTTTGACTTTTTTGAGAGGATTTTGGGGAAGGATGTTGGCAAAAGATGTCATCGACTCATCGTGCTTGTCTGTGTTGCAGTAGAAGAAAAGGTTTTGGTTCGTGTCCAGATAAAACCAGACCCGGGAGTGGGGCTCGAACTCACGACATCGCGTTCAGCTCACAGGTTACGCAACCTAAACGCTACGAGCACCTATCGCCCCGCGCAGCTTGCTCAGTGCTACGGCTATAGTTAGGCCAAAGTGTCTGACGTCTGTCAATGTCACGAGGCGAAGCCCCTAGATAAATGACCGTCCCGGTAGCTCGGGCGGTAGGGCGTTGGACTCCGTGTGGTGAGAGCGCACGTCCCGGTTGCAAAAGTCCGGGTTCGAAACGCGACGTGTGTTTGACGTTTTTGAGTTCCTGACGGGTATGGTTGTGGTTGGTGGCAGGCCGCTGCCAGGCGAAGTCAGTGAGGGGATCGGCCGTGCGCGGCTATGTGCGCACGTTAAACTTTGGACTCTAAATTCTGCCATAGACCAGGAATTGCTTGATCGGAGGGTAGAGGGTAGAGTCAACACACCCAAATTTATATTAAAAATGGGGGAGCCGAACCATGTTGGGTCGGGTTGAACCCGGTTGGACCTGTGTCTTACACGCAATCATGGTCAGAGAAAACAGAGGCCAATTTCGGGTCAAATATTTGTATTAACTGATCTTATTGTTTTTTAGCTTACACGTATAATAACTTTAAGCTTTTTTATCGAGACTTTATGCACAAAAATGTGGCATTCGTCCGCTTTTCCTCCTCTCCTCTCAGCGACTTGATTTGACCTTAAATCTTACCAGCAAAAAATAAATCACCTGCGTGATAATTATTTGCCCATGGGCGCTCTACGCAAGAAACGCCAGCCGGTCAAAAAATTTGGCGAACGATACGATATTTCTAGTGCTTGAATTATATTCAATGACAATTTCAGGAGACATAAATAATCTTAATCCTTCGGGCGCTCGGAGCATTCGCTAGCATTCCATTGCCGGCTGCATTACCAACATCATATTTGCATTACTTTGGGTTCATCATAGTTGACAGTAGATGAACCGGCCACAGCAAACCCATGCCTCATTATCCTTTCCTCCAAGCAGCCAAGCTAACCGGCCGCTCGGCCCACCACCGCGATATGGAACAACACTGGAGTGCGCCATTTGCCTGCGGCAGTGCCCTACCGCGCCGGGGCTGTTTGACAGGTCACCCGCACCGTGACCTCGCCAACCGCCCCCCCCCGCCCACCTCCCCATCGGGCCCAGCTCGGTACTGACCTCCCCTTGAATTTGACATGGACTCGACTGAGGCTCAACGCCATCTAGTAACGTCTGGAGATCCTTACTAGATCCACTGTACGCGTCGATTACTTCGGGCGCGAGATCGCACGAAGGTAGATTGGGCTGCATGCCACCCGAGGGCAGCCCCAAACAACCGATAGAGAAGCCTCTTTCGAACCCGTCCACCAAATATGACGCAATAATTTCATCATAGCCAAGAAGGAGCTCACGAAGCACGGTAGGTGGCACGCTGACAGCGGGTACAATGCCAGTGGGTAGTCCGCTATTTCCTAGGAGCGGGGAGGGCGGCGTGCGGGGTGACCGGCCGCTGGCTGCGCATGGCGTGGCGCCGAGGGCAGCGGAGGGCGCTGTGGTTTCCGCGACAGAACCGACAGGAGTGGATGTAGCGGCAGCGGCCGCGCGTACATCCACCGGGGCGATTGAATGAGAGGCAGATGGGTTGAAAACTCCGCGCCCCCGAAGGCCCCGGGACCTGCCCCTTTGAGACGCTGGCGATGCCGCGGCCGATGGCGTTCAGCCAGATTGGCGAGTTTGCATCAGATTCGCCCCACTTGTACGCGTGTGGGAAGAACTCGCGAGCGCGACAAAACTGCTCGTCATATTCCCTCCAAGCGAACCCCATGCCGGGAGCTGAGAGGGAGCTGACCTTGCGCATGTGAGTGATGAGCCCGAGGGCATCCTCCGGATGGGCTTGCAGGTAAATACCTGCATACCGAAAAAAGCAACTGGCCATGTTCCGAACGTCTGAATGACGCGTGTGGAACGTGCTGGCTGCAGACGACCATCAACGAGGTTGAAGGTGCCTTCAGGCGCTTGAGAGCGAGGATCAGAAGTGTCTAGCAATGAGCCAAGATCGACAAAACGGTGGCCTACAATGTTGTGCCTGGTAGTGGCTGTTACGTGAAAACTGATGTCTGAGGACACGCATGCCGCGGAGCCTGGGGAGTTACCTGGGTGTTCGTTTCCTCCGGAGCCCATTTGCGGGAACACTGCGGTCGTCGGCTGCCTGAGGTCTAGAGGTGCCCCCGGCGACGTATGTTGAGACGTCGATGGGACGGGGACGGCCGCTGGCACAGCGGCTGCCACAGCAGCCTGAACCATCTCACCGATCATCTCGCTCAGCTGCTCCCTGCTGAACGTGACAGTGTCGGCAGGGGCAGCTGGTGCACCGGACGAGTGTGGCTGGACACTCGTGGCCGTCATCATAGAGGTCCCGGCGTCCGCTGGCGCTGGGACTGGAGAACGTTGGGGCGTAGCCGCGACTGAGCTGCCTCTAGGCGCTGAGCGGCCCCTGAGGGCGCCCCTTGTGCTCTGCGGAGCGACGCTGGATGGGGTGCGCTTGGTAGACCGGCTGCGGCGTGTCGGAGGTGACGCCTTCGGCATGTTGATGATATGAGCTCGTAGCAGACATGAAAAGAAAAACAGAAATCATGCTCAATTTGTATGTGAACATAATGCACCACAACGCATCGTACACAGGGGAACACACACTGCTCACTGCCGTGCTTAGGCGAGGGCGGCTTGGGACCCTACCAGGGCTCTCCACCCCATTTGCGAGGGATGGACGCCATCCCGCCCCAGGAAGGCAGGGCCGGGGTTAAAGGTTCGGAGGACAGTGGGCGCATGGCGGAACTTGGAGCGCAATATATCATTTGTCAGGTGGCGCCGACGTCGGTAGGTAGCGCGGGAGACATCAGTGTCCCGCAGCTTCATACGGGGCATGGCTGGATAAATGTGCACCATCTCCACGCCTGCAACCAAGATACCCGTGCAGAGCTCTTCCATTTGCTGCAGGAACTCGCGCTGCCGGAAGGCCCTGTGTGCGATTTCATTGCCGCCGAGGAGCAGGGCGACACGTTTAGGCTGGCGCTGCAGGACTTGGTCAAGAGCCCAACGACGGAAACGCTCATCGCCGATGCGCGCGCCACGCCATTCGACGGCTTGAATGCCGGAAACGGCGACGCCCCGTTATTGTAGATGGGCAGCGTAGCTATGGCCCACTACGAGAAGCATCTGAAAATAGGGTGATATTAACCCTCGCCCTGGCAGGGCATTTTTCATAACACGGCCTGGCAGGGGGGGGGGGGTCGATGCGACCCCCCCTCGCGATTGGCTCCTATGGCACCTAGAAACACCAAATTTGGTAGATAGGTGGGCCCCTGGAGTTCTCGCCCCTGTGCAAATTTGGTTGCTCTAGATCAATATTTAGGGGGGTTTTGGGGGTATAAATGTAAAAATTTCGCTAAAAACAGGTCAAAAGTTTTTCGCTTATAACTTTTGATCTAATTAAGATAGAGCAAAAAGAAAAGCACCAGTGAACTCAGCACGTCAAGGCGCGTCGAAAGATATACTTTTTAGCTTGCTTAAGTGTTCTTAAAGTTTTTCTTAAATTTTAAGTAAACTTAAATTAATAACTTAAGTTCAAGTTAACCAAATTGCATCATATTGCATATCATTCGATTCCGCTGATCACCAGGAACACAATGATACCATTTTTTAAGCTCTAGCGTCATTATGTGCCAAGTTATTGGCAAAAACGTCATTTGACCTCAGTTGACCTCATTTGACCTGACCCATGGATAAGTACACCAAACAAAGAAGCACCAAGTGACCTGCTGTTAAGTACTGTGGTTTCAAAGCACAAAAGCGATAGAACGAAGCGGATATCTGCAGTATTTTCCGAATTTAGTATTTTCCCATAGGCTTAACATTACGACGTAATGACCTCTAACTGACCTCAGGTCAGTGACCTCAAAAAACCCGAACTATATGTTATACAACTCGGTGAACTTAGCATATCCTGAAAGTTTGAAGGAAATCAGTCCAAAACTGTGAGTTGGACAGCTGCAAACAGAAAATTGAAATTTGACCATGACCTTGTACCGGTTTTTCTGACCTGGTGACCTGACCCAAGGTCACCCGGACCTGAAATTTTCAGGTCATATGTAAAAAGATTTCCCCATAGGCTGTGCCAAATTTGGCGGCGCTGCGCGCCGCCCTTTTAACGCTATCTTCGAAAAACCTTAGGGGGGGTCGCATCGACCCCCCCTGCCAGGGCGAGGGTTAAGGGGAGCGGTGCAACATTACCAATGAATTGTTAAATTAATTAACCGGCCTACCAACCTACCAAATTTGGTGTTTCTAGGTGCCATAGGAGCCAATCGCGAGGGGGAGGGGTCGCATCGAATCCCCCCCCCCCTGCCAGGCCGTGTTATGAAAAATGCCCTGCCAGGGCGAGGGTTAAGGGTATCAGCCCTCAATCAGCGCAAAACACTATATGAGATTGACATTCTGCCCTTTGAAAAATGTTACAATCGTAAAAATTGACGACAACATTTTGCGTTTGATCATCTTAAGTGACCCTAGTGACGACAAAAACAACAAAAAGTATGCCTATTGCTGAAATAAATTGTACCCTACGGAATTGAAGAAAATGGGGGGTCGTTTGGATCGTTTTCGAGCAATCTCCCGTGGAACGTTTTTTGGCCGTGGTTTTTCATTTTCCCCATTGGCTTTTGCAAAATTGTCAGGGAACTCGATTTGTTTTTTCAATAGAAAAACACAATTCTAACGAATAGTATTTTAACTATTGACAACAAACCTTCGGTTATATCGGCTGAGCGTTAAAGGTAGTGTGCCACCTTTGAAAGATTTCCCATTTTATTTTTCCTAGGATAAGAAGCTTCTGTTTTTACCTAATATCGCAAAAAAAATCAAAAATGGGCCTGGAATAGTGCCTTTTTCGCCTAAAAGTTTATCGGTTTTTAGATATGTATAACAACTGTAGTGGGCTCACCTGCAAACAGGCGTCGGGCAACAATCGCGAATGCGGCGCACTTGTGACAATAAGCAAAGGTCATTATAGTGTTACGACCATACGACGTACGGGAATGAGTTATCAGCTGTCTAATCGTAGACAACACAATGTCGAGCCTTAAACTGTAAGCCCGTATTGGTATTGTTTCTTTTATTTGGCTGTCGAACATTATTTATGGTTTGAAATATGATTTTATGTAAAATAATTGATATGAAAAATCCGTCTTATAAGTTATGACCCCATTTCACCACACGCAAGTGGCAGAAATGACAATGATCAGCTGACGCATTTTTCTTGGCCGAAGTCAGAGCGCGCAGCCCGACGTCCAACCACCGCACCACAAAGTATGAGCAGAAGCCGCGCCCAAAGCCAGGGCCCCGGTAACGTGAGGTAGCCGAGTCGGGGCAGCGTGCGCTGACCCAAGCCGGGGCCGCAGCTTTGGGCGCGGTCTACCGCATCCCCGCGGGCAGCCCCGGGCTATCACATGACACCGGGAGGACGCGCGGCTCCGGCTTGGGTCAGCGCACGCTGCCCTGACTCGGCTACCTCACGTTACCGGGGCCCTGGCTTTGGGCGTGGTCTACCGCACCACCTAACAGGCGTGTTCGAAACCGCAGGAGCTGATGATGAACGGGTTTATCGAAACTTGATTGGATGAGCATATCGGTAATAGCGATTTCAGTGTGTGCATTTATTGTTCATAGTGGTGTGAAATGTGGTTGGGGTACGACCGACAACCCGTCGGGGCGAATTTCGCACTGGGGTACTCAAAATTTGAAGAATTTAAGACGTTTCCATGAGTTTTGAAGGTATGGATAAGTTCTAAAAATCCGGTTCTCCTTATCAGGGCCATTAACTCCATACGGTCCAAGAAAGCTGGCACACTACCTTTAAGCGCTTATTTTCATTGCCGTCTATGTGCCATGACGGTTAAAATCACCACTGTTCTTTGTCCTTAGATGCAAATTTTATCACTAGCTCTTTTCTTCAGCGTCAGTTTTCACGACTTTCCCTTCTAGTTTTCAAGGTTTCACCACCACCTCTCATGTGTACAATACTCAGGTGCGACAACACACACGTCCTACCGGTCGTCGCTGAGCTCCCTCACTGACAGACTTCATACACTATCAGAACTGAAAACCGCTATCAGTCATGAGACCCTTGAGGTGAAAGCTTGTTGCGGATATGATAGTTGATACAATTCTTATAATGATACCCCGATAGCTCACTTAGATAATCGCGAGGTTAGACCTTCCCTGGTATTTTAACCACTTATACATTTTGTTCATATTTTGTGTCGGTAAACGCCTACCAATTAGCTGCACCTGGTGTTCTTTGGTACATACCTCTAGCTGATGGAACAAGTGGTGCCACCGCGATATCTAATCATCTCACGGCTTGGCGGTGGTCAGGACCGTCTGACCGTCTGACCGTCTTGCCCCGCGATGTAAGAGGGGAGGGGCGGGGGACGCGTTGACCTTCACAGCATCGACTGTGGACAGCGCGAGCGGCGTAGCCAGAGCCTTTCGATGGGAGGAGCACAGTGGGTCCGATGCCCCCCCCCCTTGTAGACGGGCCCCTTGCAAACGGACCCTTTTGTAGTTATGCTTCTCTTTAACGGTCTAAGAACTTGAGGAAATGTGGAAAATTGTTATGCATAAATTTAATGTTTTGCACGATATTTTACAATTAAGCGAAACGAGCGAGTTCATTTGAGCACAATTGAAGTAAATTTCAATATGAGCCCAACCAGGCGTGTCGTCCCAACCTGGCCCGACACGACCTGCGACGCTTTTGAAAGCTTTAAAGGGACCCTCCCACCTTAACATTAGATTTGAGTTGAGATAGCCAAAATGGGGTCCCTGGCTCACAATTACCGGTTTCGGCACTCACAACATCGAGAAATGCCTTAAATCGAAAATATTGAATTTCAAAATTGCAGCATTTTGATTCAGAGGGGCTAATGCTTAGGAATACCCCTCTGAATGTGTGACGTCAGCGCAGATATCTAACGATTTTTAAATGTTTGACTAAAACGTTTTGTAGCACGCGGTGGTATATGCTATTTGCGCGCAACATCTGCCGCAAACGCCGCACTTCTAAAATAAAATCGCTAGAAACAGCGGAGATCCCAAAAAAGTAAACAAAAGTAAAAGTATAATATCTTGAAAACCGGTGAATATTTTTCGGTGAAATTTCGTAGATATTCGTTTTCGCTCTTTCTGAACCGAGCGACATCACTTTCATGCCAATTCATAAATTTTTTTGAAGGTGGGAGGGTCCCTTTAAGCATGCCTATTCAATCGCTCGACCGATCGACAGGCAGTCCTGCATCAGGGAGATCCATCTCTTCAATCATGAACTCGATAAACTTAACCCTCGCCCGTATAGGGGGGGGGGGGGTCGAACGGACCCCCCCCAATGGTTTTTCGCGAATAACTCGCGTAAAAAGCGGCCGATTACGACGAAACTTTCAGTACCCTCGCGTTTTTTATTTTTACACCTACCCTGAAAATTTCATGACCTTGACCCAAATGACCTTTGACCTGTGACCTACTTTTCGAGACCATGTTTGGCTGGAATCGCGATTCGGCGTATGTCGGCTCGCATTAGCCGCGCGTTTGCAGTCTTTTCGTGGTTTCAAGCGTTCAAACATGTGGTATGATGTTGCCCCCATGCATTAGGGTGGGTGTCAAGGTCACCTGAAGGTCAGGTCAGGTCATTGACCTTTGATGACCTCGGTTCACTTTTTCGAGTTTTACATGTTTCTAGGCCAGTTTTTGGAGCTGAATTCGAATTTAGCAACCATATGAACATTTAACCCGCGCACCGACGGGGGTCTGCGCCAACTTCGCACCGACGGGGGGGGGGGGGGCGGATGACCGCCCCCCTGAGATCTCGAGAACGAAGCAAGATAGCGACAAGCGGTAAACGGCATCGGATACGCACGGTCAAGATCTACAATTTTTACTAAGGTCATTTTCAGGTCAGGTCAAAGATGACGTCACAGGGGTCGAAAAAGTCAAAATGGCGGCGCTAGATATAGAGAGAGTTTTTCTCGAATAACTTTCGAATTAGTCAAGATAGGAACAAACTAAGGGCATCATCGTGATCCTCTCGTCAATCCGCATCGAATGATTTATATGTTGACCTCGAAAGGTCAAGGTCAAAGGTTGACCTCAGGTCACGTGACCTCGAGGTCATCATGTATATCATTTGATGCGTCTTGACGAGCTGAACACAATGAGACCATCCACGCGTCTGTATCTTGTTCCTGTACGGAGTTATTGGCCAAAAACCTTTGGTGACCTTTGATGACGTCACATGACCTCACAGCTGCCCAACAGCAAAACAGACCTCAAGGTAGTGAAGGTTGATCGTATATGAAGTCATGTATGGTATATGGGGCCATTCCGACCCGTTTTAGTGGTAAAAACAGGGAGTTGATTTTTCCCCCATTGACTTATAATGGGGAGGTCGCGAAATTGACCTGACCTTAGGTCATCGATATCGAAATTCCGAGATATACAAATTGTAGCTACTAATGACCTTACAACATCCTGCGACTTTCAAAGGCCTCCGACATCTACTGTAGCTCTGGCACGGTGACAAAGTGGCAAAAAAGTGACTTGAGGTTGGGTCATTCAAAGTGACCTGGTGACCTGAACTTGGAAGGTAGGAGGTTTCATACTTGCACACCATGTGTAAAATTGATGAGGAAATAGTCGTACCAAATTTCGCGGCGCTACGCGCCGCGGTTTTCCCGCTATTTGCGAAAAACCTCAGGGGGGCGGATATCCGCCCCCCCGTCGGTGCGCGGGTTAAGAAGTAGTTTTGGTGCCTTCGTAACATGTTACGAAGCTGTCATAGGCGGTTGCCACCTACTACGAATACCCTTACTGGTTGACCTGACCTGACCTGACCCGACCTGGCCTAAATACATGAAGACATCATCTGTGATCAAAACTAACATAATATTAGTGATCAGCACCCCAAAAAACCCATAGCAGCCACACTTTACGACGTTCTAACAGGTCCCGATTTTCCCGCCTTTGGGGTTATTGACCTGACCTGCAAGGTCAACCAATGACCTAGGACCTTAAAATTGGGTATCATCGGCTTCCTCTCGTCACGGGCAACACGCTCGTTTTTTCCGCGAAGCTCTAGCTCGATCAGGGGCGAAACGGCAAGGGGGGTCCAACGGACCCCCCCTTATACGTTCGCGGCTGGAAAAACACCAATACGGGCGAGGGTTAAATCTAGGACCCCAGTCCGGGGCGCGGGTTTAACTTGAATCGCTTACCTTACTTTCCTCAGCACACCTTTCGTCCTAGTCCACTCTCTGTATGAGGTCACAGCGCTAACACTGCGCAGTGCCGCCCCAACCCATTAACCTGGTGGCGGGGCTTAATAATTTGATGACGTCATCAGAGCTACCATGGTAACGTGACAACACGAGTCGGTCAGTGTGCAGGCTCCCCCTCCCCTGGCATGCAGCTTGCAGTTTCAGCCGGCAGTACATCCTGCCCAGGTGGTCGATTTGACCGCGCTTACCCATGACAACAAAGTAGGTACATACAAACTTACTGAGGGTCAATGCTAAATAGATATACAATACAATGGAGGACGATGCATATATGTAGAATCATAGATAACATGAATCATGTTATCTATGGTAGAATGCATGACGATTACAATAATAGCATCCTACAGCGTTTATAATGGTTGGTTGTGGCAATAAATTAAACACTTGCGAATGCCATTTCAGTAAAATTGCGTATTCGATACCTCCCTCCTGAGGCTCTCATGTACCTACTAACAGGAGGCCTGATCACAGATTCTTGAATAAAATTACTAAGCCACCAATCATGTAAGTCCATCGCCATCAGTTCGGTGATATCACAATAATGGACGATATCGAACCGGACAAATCTGGTCCAAACGAACCACAGCCGACCGGACCACCGACGGTCCGACACAGTGACGGGCGAGGTCCGATATCGCCTGGACCAGACACCCTCTTAGCTGGCTCCAACCACTCTCTGGTCTAAACTGAAACTACTACGTTCGCGGCTGGAAAAAACACCAATACGGGCGAGGGTTAACTACTTTTGATGCGTATGGGTGACCGGCACCTCACGTGCCGTGTGTCAAGTCAGGGGTGCTTAAATTACATTGCTTTTACAATAGCTACGCATTGACTTGGTGAATTGCGCTGAAACGTGTCCGATAGGTGAACATCGTGTGGACGGGGAAATGCCTTTCCATGGCCATCACAGTTCGGTTGTTACTCTGAGCGTGCGCCAGTGAAGGGCACTTGCGCACGTTTTGGCGGACTCCTTACGGTGTCCAACACAAAGTGTTACATTTTGGGCTCGATAAGTCGAAGACTAGCCTAGCGAATTCAGCCCATGAGAGCGTGGCGAGATCGCACGAACGATCTACGAAGCCCGAAATGGCCCTGTGTGATCGCTTGATGTGAGCCTCCCGAGCCAACGAGTAAATCCCTGAGCGCACAGCGAGACTCGAGAGTCATCTGAAGCTGAGCACTTGAAAGAGTCCTCGGACTACCGTGGGAACCTTGAGTGGGTGAGAGGTCCATGGGGCCATCACAGGTGGGTGTGGGCCGTGGGGCCCTTAGCGCTGATCCCTAATAAACCAGGAAGGGCTCTAAAAGGCTGGTAAGGGCTCTCAGGCCGGTAAGGGCCCTTAGAGGCCGCCGAGAGGCCCTCAGAGGCCGCCAAGGGTCCGTCAGAGGCCGGCAAGAGGCCCTGAGAAGCCGGCGTGGGGCCCTTATGGAGATCTTAGCGTGACTGCTCAGGGGCCCATGCTCTTACGAACCCTGTGGGGACCTTCTGAGTCGAAATATGGCCAGTGTGGACCCTCAACGACCAATTGGCGCTTTAGGGTCCCTCGGGCCCGAGGGGCCCCCTGAACCCGATGAGAGGGGCACGTGCCCCCTGTTCCCCCCTTGGCTACGCAACTGACTGTGGATGCCTTTGTTTTTGTTTTTGACAATTTGTTATAATAGTAACGTCATAGCGGCGATATTGTTTGGTTCGGTTTGAGGCGTCATACTTGGAGGCATTATGCCACCACGAAGAACTTACCT